AAGCCCACGAAACCGTCCCTCCACAAAACGCACCCTTTTTCCGACAAGACACAAAAGGGGCCCAAGGAAGCTCCCTGAGAGTGGGTGGGCTTCGTTTTAACCCGGGGGGGGGGATGTCTCCAAACTTGGCCGCTTTAAGAGTTGTGGGCTCTGCCCCAACACCCCTAATGTGGATCTAGTCCAACAAAAAATAATGGACTGTGCGGAAATGGACACACTCACGTTAAAAATGTGAGAGAAGGAGGACTCTGAGTTTTATTTAATCTGGCACAAATGGTATGAATAGGTAGAAGATGGACATAAGGAATAAGAAGAGGAGATTAACTATAAGAGACCTTAAGAAAATGACTTGTAGATATGTAAAATATATAAGTATATAAGATAGAACTAATTATAGATTAAGGTAACAGTTATTGGTGAATGTATATTAAATGTATTAGGAACTATAAGATAACCAATGCCTGCAGATGTCAAAACGCTGTTGAAAATATGAATATGATTTGAGTTGGATTGGTGGAAAACACAATAAAAACTTATTAAAAAGAAAGATTTGTGGGCTCTGCGACCAGCTCGGCCTAATTGTCGAATTCTTTTCCCGAAGGCGTAATTATGTGGGAGAATAAAGCTACCAGCCTCACTGGGGATGATAGGTTCACAGCTGCAGCCCATTCTTCCCGGCCGGGCCATGACGGAATTAGCTGCAGCTGAGAGGCCAAAGAGCTTGCCCGTCTCCCTCGGAGGGGTTGGCAGAGTTTGCAGGAATCACAGAATTGGAAGGGACCTTGGGAGGTCTCCTAGTCCAGCCCGCTGCTGCTCGAGCAGGAGACAGGGGGGAAAGGGACTGAGAAGGGGAGCAGGATAATGTCGTCTCTCCCAGAGACACCCCCACCATGTATGGGGCCTCTGCCGGCTACTCAGACGTTGCGGGTTACATTTGCCCTAAACCTGGCGACCCTCTTGAAGGGAACTGTGGTGGAATGGAGTCTGGATTCCAAAAGAGGGAGGGGCTGTTTTCCCAGAGGGCAAAGGGGCAGCGGAGCTTGAAAGGAGGCTAGAGAGGAAGGGAGTTCAATGACCCCTCCCTGGCAGTTTCCAAGGATCTATCGATAGTTATGCTATCTATAGTTTCTTTAGGCTCTCTGTGGTTTTTCTTGCAGACATTTCATGACCCAACTAGGGAACATCATCAGTGCTAGGAGGGAGTGGAGTTTGCAGAGAGGAGGAGGAGGAGGAGGAGGACTGTGGGGTCCTTGGTGGTCTCTGAGCTTGGTTGTTTTCTTGCTGATGTTTCATGACCCAACTAGGGAACATCATCAGTGCTAGGAGGGAAGGGGGGTTGTGGAGAGGAGGAGGACTGCGGCGTCCTTGGTGGTCTCTGAGCTTTAGTATTAGAATAGAATAGAGCTGGAAGGGACCTTGGAGGTCTTCTAGTCCACCCCCCTGCTCAAGTATACCATTTCAGCTTGGTTGTTTTCTTGCAGACGTTTCATTACCCAACTAGGTAACATCATCAGTGATAGGTGGGAGGGAGATTTGGGGAGAGGAGGAGGAGGTGGGTGGGGGGACAGTGGGGTCCTTGGTGCTCTCTGAACTTGATGTTTACTTGCAGACCTTTCATTACCAAACTAGGTAACGCCATCAGTGCTGGAAGAGAGTTGGGTTTATGGAGAGGAGGAGAAGGACTGTGTGGCTCTTGGTGCTCTCTAATCTTGGTGATTTTCTCACAGATGTTTCATGACCCAACTAGGCAACGTCATCAGTGCTAGGTGGGACTGGGCCTTGTGGGGTGAGGGAGAAGAAGGGGAGGAGGAAGAGGAAGGCGTGGCACAGTATGGCAAGGCAGGCTCCCACCTTGGCATGGCCAGGCCAGAGATGCCATGGAGCATGGAAACCAGCCTGTTTTTCACCAACCCCTTTGCCAAACCAGGACAAAACCAAACCCCGTTTTGTTCCAGGTTTCATGCTGCTGGCTGGATTTATATTTACATATATTTATTTAATTACGTGCATTGTTTTATTTATTCATCCCCTGCCTTTATTATTTTTGACGTGTATTTACGACAGTTGGTCAAATTTTAGGCTATGAGCTCTTTGGAGTTTTTTATTTGTGGGATTTTTTAAAAAATAGAAGGGGGCGTGGCTTTGTTGTGGGGGCCGTGGACGCCATCTTGACTTTTTTGACCGCCCTGGCCAATGCCTCTGCTGTGTGTCGCTTCAGCAGGTCCCCTAACACGTCCATTTCAGCCCCAAGCCCCATTTCCTAAACATTTGCTTTTCACATCCCCACATTCATGAAGTGACTCTGGGAAAAGTGAAATTAAAAAAAGGAAGGAAAAAAAAAAACCAGGCACCATTTTTCTTGTCAAATTAGGGGCAATTTGAACAATTGGTTTCCCTCCAGAGGTTTTGTAACGGCAGCGACTGATCAATCAGCAGGACTTTGATCAGGGTTACACGCCCCCCCCCAACAAGTCCCAGGAAGAGAGTTTGAAAGCCCCCGAAACAAAACCTGCTGCTAATTGTGCTAATGCAATTGATTAGGGCCTTGCTCCCCCCCCAGACAGAGAGGATAATGGGTGTGTGTGTGTGAGTCTCTGCAGTCTGTGTGTGTTGTGTTAAGGGACTGCAGTTATGCAAGGTATAAAATGATGTTTCTTTGGTTCCAGGGAAGGAAGGAAGGAAGGAAGGAAGGAAGGAAGGAAGGAAGGAAGGAAGGAAGGAAGGAAGGAAGGAAGGAAGGAAAGAAAGAAAAAAGGAAAGAAAGAAAAAAGGAAAGGAAAGGAAAGGAAAGGAAGGAAGGAGAGAGAAAAAGGGAGGAAAAGAAAAAAGGGATGGAAGGAAAAGGAAGGAAGCAAAAAAGGAAAAGATGGAAAGAAGTAAGGAAGGAAGAAAAAAGAAGGAATGAATGAAAAGAAGGAAGAACAAAGAAAGGAAGGACAAGGAAGGAAGGAAGGAAGGAAGGAAGGAAGGAAGGAAGGAAGGAAGGAAGGAAGGAAGGAAAAGAAAAAAGGGAAGGAAGGAAGAAGGAGAGAGATGGTAGGAGGGAGGAAAAGAAAAAAAAAGGATGGGATGGAAGGAAAGGGAAGGAAGCAAAAAAAGAAAAAAGATGAAAGGAAGGAAGAAAAAGAATGAATGAAAGGAAGCAAGGAAGGGAAAAGAAAGGAAGGAAGGAAAAGAAAAAGGGATGGAAGGAAAGGGAAAGGAAGGAAGGAAGCAAAAAAGGAAAAGAGATGAAAGGAAGGAAGGAAGGAAGGAAGGAAGGAAGGAAGGAAGGAAGGAAGAGGAAGGAAGGAATGTGCTGATGGAGCTAGAATATCATCCTTAAATATTACAAACATTCTCAGAATTTTGGCATAATGGTGGCTAACCATCCCCTGCCCCCTCCCAAAATACATCTTGAAAACACTCATGCCCACCGCCTCATGAGTCCTCCTGCCTGGCCTATTTCCTTTCCACTCCTCAACCCTCCCAACAAGCCTTTTTTCTCCCCAGGCAAGTTTCTAGTCCTCATTGCCAAACACAAACTCCTGAAGCTCCAGGCATCCTCCTCCTCCCCCAACCAAAAGTGGGGGAGGGAGGGGCAAAACACCTGAGCCATTTTGGACCACAAACTTTTTTTTTTTAAACTGGGACCCCCGGATGTCCAAGGGCAGAGAACCTCAGCCACCCCCCCACCTTCTCCGATTTTTAAAAAAGTTATTTGGGGCCTCCATTTGACAAAGGCAACCACGAACAAGAGGAGCTCCCTGCAAATTTGGGGTACCCCCCACCCAAGATAACCCCACCCCCCACCCCACCCCCGTAAGGTGGGGAGGAAGGAGAGAGTCAAAGAGGAACAAAATGCCCCCCCTCCCGGTCTCCCCCCCTCCCCCAGCCCCCTCCTTAGTGCTGGAATCCGCCGCTGCGGGAGAGGAGGGGGTGTGAAGGGTGGCCCCCACCCACCCATCTCCCCCCAAAACAATAGACAGATGTTATCCCTAATGCTCAGCACCCTCCTTATGGGGCCGGTAATTACCCCACAGCTAATGATAGTAATCAGAAAATCCGCAAGCCGTATTCTTCCCAGGCAGTTAATTTATTTAATTACAGACTTCGAAGCCGCGTTATTTAAATGGCGATTTATTGCCTGGCTAATCAATGCCATTTTGCCTGGGTAAGGGGGCTGCGGGCAGGCGGGTCTGGGGCGGTGAGCCAAGCGGAATGGCCTGTGTGCTGGAATGGAGCCTTCCATTGGCCCGGGGCTGGGCAAGCGGGCTGGACTAGATGGTCTCTGGGGGGACCCAACACGTCTTCCCTGCGGGCAACTCTCATTCGTTGAGCGACCGTTTGAAGTTACAATGGTGCTGGGGGGGAAAAGCATCTAGGACCATGTCCCACACTTATGGCCATTGCAACACGACTTGGTCACAAAGATCGAAATTCAGATGATGGACGACTGACTCATATTTACGACAGTAGCAATGTCCCTGAGGGGGGCATGTCATCCCCTTTTTGGCGATCTTCCGATCGTCAAAGTCAATGGGGAAGCCAGATCCGCTTAACGACCGTGCTGCTAACTTAAGGATGGCCGCGATTCACTTACCAATGGCGTCAAGGAATGGTCGTAAAATGGGTCACAAGTCCCAGAATGAATGTTTTGGGCTCAACAGGGGTCCTAGGTTGAGGGACTCCCTGTCATTTTGCCATTGGCTCCTTCCTAGGGCTGAGAAAGAGTGGCTGGCTCAGGAACAGGCCAGCCGGGTTCATGCCCAAAGCACGATTAGAACTCGGGGCCTCCCAAATTGTAGTCTGGTGCATTCCCCAACCTCTCTCTCTCTCTCTCTTTTTCGTTTTTTTTCTTGCAATAAAATTCGGGTTTTCCCACCCACCTGCCCTGCTGAAGCCCCGCCGCCCCGGGTTCCCCCCCCCCACCCCCCCCCCCCCCCCCCCCCCGGTGGTCAGCCCCCCTCCCCCTGCCATCCCCTGGCCCCCCACTCCCCGCCTGAGTCCCCTGCACCCACCGTTGCCCCCTGGGGCCGGGCCCTCTGCCCGCAGGGTCCAGGGAGGGTCGCCCTGGAGGGCGAAGGTGCGCATCTTCAGGTAGGTGATGGTGAGCCGGACGATGGAGGCCTTGTCCAGCTGGCTGGTGATGGCACCGGGCAGCGGCAGGAGCTTAGCCAGCTCGTAAAACTCGAAGTTTTCCTTGCCTCGGCGGGAACGGGCGGCGTTGCGCGACTTTTCCTTCCGTAGAGCCTGCAGGCTGAGGGAAGGAAAGGAGGAAGGAAAGGAGGAGAAATAGGGAAGGGAGGAAGAGACAGCAGGAAGGAGAAAAGGCAGAGGGAGGGAGGGAGGAGAAAGAGAAAAGGGAGAAAGAAAGAAGGAAGGGGGAGGGAGGGAGGGAGGGAGGGAAAGGAGGAAAAGAAGAGGGAGGGAGGATAGGAGGGAGGAAGCAGAAATAGAGAAGGGAGGAAAAGAAATGAGGAAGGAGAAAGGAGGATGGGCGAGGAAGGAGAAAGAGAAAAGGGAGGAAGAGAAAAAAGGAAGGAAGGAAGGAAGGAAGGAGGGAGGGAGGGAGGGAGGGAGGGAGGAGAAAGAGAAAAGGGAGAAAGAAAGAAGGGTTGGTGTAGGATCTCCTGCTTGAGCAAGGGGTTGGACATAGACCATAAGAACATAGAACCATGGGGTTAGAAGGGACCTTGGAGGTCTTCTAGTCCAACCCCTTGCTCAAGCAGGAGATCCTACACCAATCCTTCCTTCTTTCTACACCAGAGGTCTCCAACTTTGGCCACTTTAAGACTTGTGGACTTCAACTCCCAGAGTTCTCCAGCCAGCTATGTCTGCTTTTCTCTCTCTCTTAATCTGGAGAGAGATTGCAGAGGAAGGGATTACAAGAGAGTAAACTCTGCTGGCTGGAGAATTCTGGGAGTTGAAGTCCGCCAGTCTTAAAGTGGCCCAGGTTGAGGACCCCTTGGTCTAAGGGGACCAAACACAAGCTCTCGGTCATTGGAGTGCCCCCCCCCGCCAGCGCAATGCCCACTGAATGCCAACTTACCAGGGCACCGGCTGGTTCTTGACCAACAGGCCCTGCAGGAAATCCCACTCCACGCTGACACACTTGAGCTCGCTGCCATAGAGGGAGGCCATTGCGCCTAGCACCGAAGGTCCTCTGGCCACTCAGGACGTCCTCCGGTCACCGATGCCCTTCACGGACGCAGCCTTCTGAAAGACATTGGGGGGGTGGTGGTTGAGAAAATCCCTGTCACACCTCTTTTCCTTAATCCAGGGAGTCCTCGACATACGGCCACAATCAAGCCTGACATTTCCGTTGCTAAGCGAGACGCTCTGCTCCAGTTTATGACTCTCCTTGCTTGCTTGGTTCAGGAAATCACGGCTGTTCATGAGTTAAGTCGCCCGGTCGTTCAGTGAATCTGGCCTTCCCCCATTGATTTGCCTTGACAGAAGGATGCCAAAGGGGATCAAGCGTCGTAAATACGAGTCAGTGGCCCATCTGAATTTTGATCGTGGGGTTGTGGGGGGGGCGGATGTTACAAAGGTCGTAACTTTGAAAAACCTGTCGAAACTCTTTTTTTTTTTTTTTTTTTGCAGTGCTGCTGTAACTTTGAACAGTCACTAAATGGAATAGAACTGGGAGAAGGGTAGACTTCAACTCCCAGAATCCCCCAGCTAGCCTGCAGGGGTTCTGAGCTCTTGATCAAAGGGGAGAAAAACCTCAAGTTCCTATACCTTATGCTTGGGGAGGAGTGTGTGTCAAGCTATTATCCAAGGCACCTGAATGCCAGATAAGGAATAATGGGTGGAAACGGATCAAGGAGAGATTCAACCTGGAAATAAGGAGAAATTTTCTGACAGTGAGAACAATCAACCAATGGAACAGAAGTTGCCTCTGGAAGTTGTGGGAGCTTCATCCCTGGAGGCTTTCAAGAAGAGACTGGACTGCCCTCGGTCAGAAATGGTGTAGGGTCTCCCGCTTGGGCGGGGGGTTGGACTAGATGACCTACAAGGTCCCTTTCAACTGTTATTCTGTTCTGTTCTGGTTGAGATATCTGACTAGACAGCTATGCTAGAAAAGGTTCAGAGAAGAGCAACCAGGATGATGAGGGGACTGAAGGCTAAAACATACGATGAAAGGTTGCAGGAACTGGGCCTGGCTAGTCTAGGGAAGAGAAGGACCAGGGGAGACAGGAGAGCATCTTCCAATATTTGAGGGGCTGCCACGGGGAGGAGGAAGGGGGTCAAGCTATTCTCTAAGGCACCTGAAGGCCAGACCAGGAATCATGGATGGGAAACTGAACAAGGAGAGATTCAACCTGGAAATAAGGAGGAATTTTCTGACCGTGAGAACAACCAACCCCATGGAACAGAAGTTGCCTTCAGAAGTTATGGGAGCTTCATCCCTGGAGGCTTTCAAGAAGAGATTGGACTCCCATCTGTCAGAAATGGGGTAGGGTCTCCCGCTTGGGTGGGGGGTTGGACTAGATGACCTCCAAGGTCCTAACCCTAACCCCAATCCTAATCCTAACCCAACCCTAACCCCAACCCCAACCCTAACCCTAACAACCAAGTTTTCTTCTGAAGTTGTCAACTTGCCCCAAATGTGAGATCAAGAGATCCAGAACCGGCGTGTTTGAGACCACCAACCGCTGGATTTGCAGCCTCCCATCCGAGGAGCCGGTTCCTTTCCGGAAAAAGAAGGATGACACAGATGTGGGGGGGGGGGGGTGTCCCCTTGCCTATTTAAGGTGAGGGTTGGGTTACCGGATGCTTGACCCCTTCCCCAGCGGGGGATAAGGCAGGAGCGGGCAGCCTCTCTGGCTAAGGGGGTCTGCCCCCCCAGCCCCCCCCATTAGCACCAGGAGGGGGGCAGACCCCAGACTTCAGGGCCAGAGATCGCTGCAGAACCGCCACGGAGCGACCGACCGACCGAGCATCAGTGGCAGCATATCCTCGTGGGGCCTTTCCTGTTTCTTTCTTCACCACTCCAACCGCCCATAAATCAAGGCAGGAAGCGCCTGTCACTTACTTCTCAACTCCGAGAAGAGGAGGAGGACATTCCCAGGACGAGCCAGGCCGGAGGAGGAAAACTGTTCAACATCCTGACACGGAGCCTTGTTTTGCCACACGCTTTCGCAGCACACGCACCTGTCTCAGCCCTGGCACGTCTTGCCAGCCGGGAGCAGAAACCCTTTTTGCCAGCCGACGAACCCACCGCGGGCCGCCCGTCCTCTCCGTCCGTGTCTGTCCCTTGCCCCCCCCCACACCGTCCCCACGCATCCAACGGGCGAGCGCCCACGCATACCGATCCGGTGGCACGCACAACTGCACTCGCACCCCGTCTCCCATACCAATACAAAACCCACGCCTCTTGCGCATATAAAATGGAGATCATCAATAGACACGCCGCCTGGCGCATACCAATGGGCAGCCTCGGGAGCTGGGCTTAGACACCTTTGCCAGCTCAGGCAGGGCGAAAGGGGGCAGGGGGGTTGAGGGGGGGTGAAGGCCTTCGCAGAGTCCTGAAAGTTTGCAAAGGTTGGCTTTGGGGAGGGGGGAAGCGAGGGCAGGCGAGGGCAGGGGCAAAATTAGGAATGATAAGAGGGTCTCAGCCCCCTCCCCTTTGGAAGGAAAAAGGCAAAGGGGAAGCGAGGGGGGGGCCTGTATGCAGACTTGCCTTTATGAAGGTTGGCCGCAAGGAAGAGGTTTCAACTTAACCGCAGTTGGCACGATTGTAGGAGAGCCGCCTCGGTCCAGGGTACCCCAAACCCGAAAGAATCTGGTGGCATCTTCCCCAAAGTCTATTCCAAGACAGATGCTTTCACCCCGAAGCTTCCGCCTTTTTAATACCAAGGTGCCAGTCTGGCAAAAAAAAAAAAAAAAATGCCAATTTTTCCTGATCCTCGTCTGCAGGGGTGTAGGGATGGCGTTAGGTTGAACTGCTTTCGAAGCAGCCTGATCACCTTCCAAACAGCACCAACCCACGTTTCCACGGGCCACGACTTTCTCCCGGCGAAGGGATTTCCCGGATCATCTCGTGCTCACAAGATTTTCACCAGAGTAGGGGTGGGGGGGTAAAGCAACGGGGTGCCCTCAAACACGTACCGGGCAACTGCAGGCAGAGCTGACCCAAATGTCTGCAACTCTCTTGAGGCTTCCAAGACAGCCCCCCTCCTCACTCCCCAAACGGGTCGAAACCCCACAAGCGTGGCCTTCGCAGGAGCCCTCCTGCTCCCAGCTGAGATCGTCACACACACACACACACACACACACACACACACACACACACAACGGCCAGGAGGATTCGAACCCAGGCTGCCTACACCCAAAGGAGAAGCAGCCTTTGAAATGGCACCCCCCCACACACACACACCCCTCCAAAACGGCAGCGCAAAAGAGCAAAGTAGCAACTCAAACTTACTTACAGAGCAGGTCGCCAAGTGACGGGGGGGGGGGGGCGGCGGTTAGCGTGGCTCAAGCCTGACCTCTCAGGCCTCCTCTGGCTTCCAATCTCTCCTGTCCATCACCCTCCTCGCTCCTTGGACAGGACCTTCCTGCCTGGAATTCCTTGCTCACCAGCACCAGCTCACAAATATCGGGTCCAGATGCTGCAGCCGAGGCAGGGATGTGGGGTCCCTTCTAGGTTTGCAAGCCCAAGCCCCCTGACCCCCACAGGGATGGAGGGTGGGGGTCGGGGGGGGGAAGCAGGCTGCCTCCTTGCCTCTTCCCTCCTTGGAAATGAAACTGGGGAGGGGGTGGACTGGACTAGAGAACCGAAGGGGAAACGTTTTGCTGTGCACGGACTTACTCGGGCCAATCCCTGCTGGGTTTTTTTGCCCCCCTGAAACCGTCGGGATGCAGGAGGCAGCCCCCTACCCACCCACCCACAGCCAAGCGAGACCCCAAACCCATTTTCAATGGCTCTTAGCGGTGCCTGGATGGAGGCAACCCCCTCCCCTCTCGAAATCAAGTACAAAGAAGAACCAAACCAAACCTGGCTGGCTGGATAGAGGCTCCTTCGGGAGTTGGAGAGGGTGAGTGGGTGGGTGGGATATTTATCTTGCGGAGTTTCAAAAGCCAGCCAACCCCATTTAATTTAACAATTTGGGTGAGGTGGAAAGAAACAGCAGGCAGAACTAATAGGCAGCCCTTCCAAGGTCCTAATTCAGCCCTTGTAGGGAGGCCAAGCCTCTTGCACCCATTGCACCATTCTACCCCCACCCCCGGGGCCCTTTTGCAATGCAACCATTGCCTTCGAACCCAACCTTCTGCCCAAATTCTACAGCCAAACACAAGTTCTTTCGGGATAACTCTGCCAGCTGGGTAAAGGAAGCTGAAATGGCACACCAATTTTTGCTAAAAGAAAAGGAAAAAAAAGGGAATTTAGGGCGTGCAACCTTGCCATTCAGATGCCCGATCTCCTTCCAAAGCCGAAGATCTTCGGGTGGGGCAGTGATCCACGGGGGATTCTCTCCCCCCAAAAAGAAATAAGTGTATTTTCCCAAAAGCAGCACTAATCAACGGCAGCTCCCGAGGAGACCCATGGAGGGTGGAAAGATGGGAGCAAGGAAGGGCTTGCTTGGATCCTCCAACCTCCACCATGTCCACCAATCCTTGGGTGGGGGGGCTCAATAAAAGCACCCACCAGTGGAGATCTCAAGGTTTCCCTATTGCAAGTCCCCTCCAGTTATCACTGAGCTGCCACCAAATATCACATAAACAGCAGAGGCCCATTTTTGCCAACCAGGGACAAGCTCAAAAAACTTGAAACCAAGTCTGCAAATTGTCTTTTTTTAAAAAACAACAACAACTCAAAAATCGCTTCCTGCAGAGACAGGGAAGGCAATTCTGAACGGGTTTCGCAAAGGCCCATTTCTCCGAGCAAGCTGTGCTCCGCCCTCCTCCAAACAGGCACCCCGAAAGGACCCCCCCCCCCCCCTCCCCTCCCCCTCGGATCTCCCCTGGTTCTTCCCCTTGGATTGCGTATCCTGTTCACCTTTGTTGGACCTGCTTTGGCTCCGGGTGTCAAGGCCCATCCTTTCCCAAGGCCGGGGCAGGGTGTGTGGGGCCTTTGCCAGAAGAAAGATTCTTGCGTCGAGGAGGGTCTGCAGAGCCCCAAGTTTTGCCTTCTT